GGCAGGCTGGAATCTGGCAATTAAATCCCCAGCCTGTCCAAAAACTCTTCAAACTCAGCTAAAGTTTTATTTGGGGAGAAATAAACACCGACCACAGCGATTTGACCCAGCAGTGCCGCGACGCATCCCGAACCCTTCGCAACACGTGTGAAAGGAGGGGCACCAGCGGCGACCTGGGTCACGATCACGACCTGTCCATCATCATCCCCTACCCAGTTATCTCGCGGAGGAACTGAGTATGGCTCCGCAACAACGGCGACCGGCACCGTCCACTGCACCAGGCTTTGGACAAACAGGTCCTGGGCCCTGGCACAGTGGTTCAGATTCGCTTGCAAGATCTTTAATGCAGTCATTGTTTACCGGTATCCTTATCCTCCTCATCCGTATTTTGGGCTGGCTGCCTTTGGGCCAGTGGCCTCGATGCTGCTTTCCTAACCTAACCTAACCTAACCAAGATATGACGAATAATTAATAAATAATCTTAAATGTTCTAACCTAACCTAACCCAGATATGAGGAATAATAAATAAATAAATAATCTTAAATGTTCTAACCTAACCTAACCCAGATATGAGGAATAATAAATAAATAATCTTAAATGTTCTAACCTAACCTAACCCAGATATGAGGAATAATAAATAAATAATCTTAAATGTTCTAACCTAACCTAACCAAGATATGACGAATAATTAATAAATAATCTTAAATGTTCTAACCTAACCTAACCCAGATATGAGGAATAATAAATAAATAATCTTAAATGTTCTAACCTAACCTAACCAAGATATGACGAATAATAAATAAATAACCTATGTCTTAAACTAACCACGATGTCGCAAAATAAAAACCAAAAGTAAATAATACATTTAGATTTTAAAAATAGTCTACTCACGTTTATAAATTGTTTACACTAACACTATGAACACTTAAAACTATAAAAATAATATTAAAACAAAAACAAGAAACGAAAGTATATAAAAATTAACAAAAACTAATAACTAATGGAAAATACACAGAGTACAGAGTCACAAATTATGAAACTTCGCGGTATTTTAAGAACACCCGCCAATAATACTGAAAAATATTCACAGATAAAAAAAATGTTTTTTTTTTTTACTAAATGTACAATTGTAAAAACAATATATTTTACATAAATCAGATAAAAAATCATAAATGTATTTATGAAATGAAAATAATATTTTTCTTTTTATTTATTTATTTATTAATATTAATATTTTACCAACAGAAAAAGCAAAAATAATCAAATATAATCTGTTGTCATTTAAGCGGTAATATAAAACAAAGTGTCAGTTTTGCTTTTGTCAAAATGTAAGATCATTTTGTTTGTGTTGTGAAATTATTAAAATATTAAATACAATAAAGCATTAATTGTTGTGAAAAATGTGTAATGTACATAAAAAACGATGCGTACTATTCGTTAAAGGTATGTTTATCTGTTGTAATCACTTATTTAGGTAAAGAAATGTATGGAAATGTGTTAAATATGTTATAACTTTAAGTCTCAATAACTTTTTACTCGTACGTTTCCTCCAAATATTTTTAATATATTTTGACTCTCTGTCACCTCCCCCTATCTAAAAATACCACCCACTCCGAATGGTGGTAAAGAAATATATGAAAATGTATGGAAATGTTGTAACTTTAAGTCTCAATAACTTTTTACTCATACGTTCGCGGACAATTTTTATTTAACATTTCGACTCCCTATCACGTCCCTTATCCAGAAATACCACCCACTCCGCTAGGGGCCAAGTCCCCAATTCTGAATTTGTGCCTATATATGTATATATATATACATATATATATAATTATATATATATATATATATATACTATATATATATATATATATAATATATATATATATATATATATATATATATATATATATATATGCATAGAAATCTCAGAAATAAAGCTTTGTTTTTGAAACAGACACAAAAACTCTCTAATGTAAAGTACAACAAGTACCTATTTAGTAGCTTAAAAAACTTAAAAAAATAATAATAACTGACTTCTAGGCACTAAAATGTAAAAAAATAACTAAACGGGGGTTTTCATTTAGAATAAATACCTAATCAGATATTTTCAAAGTCGGTGTGTTTTGACTTGTATCGGCTGGCGCAATTTCCCTATAAAGTTGCAAGTCGGTTAAACGTATTGGGCTTATTATATCAAACCAAATAAACCCAAATTCAAACTATTTACTAGGAGCCTTTAGAATGAATTTAAAGTTCTCCACTTAGTCCTGTTGACTCCAGGAACTTCCAGGTTTTCAGAGCGGGGAGCATCTGTATCTCTTCTGGTTGCATAATATGCTGCCCTAGATATACTTCTGCGGTGCATGAGTGGTCCGCACGAGCAGAGGATATGCATAGCAGTTTCTTGTCTCATGGCATAGTCTGCACATCTATCATCTGAATTACAAGCACTTGTAAAGTTTCAAGTCGATTTGTTTAAAGTAGCAAAATCAGTCAAGCCGTCTCTGAGAAATCGGTAAAACACATAAAAAAACATACATATAGGCGAACTTACAACCTCCCCCCTTTTTCGAAGTTGGTTAAAAATAGTAACTTAGCAAAATAGATGTGCGTATTTCACGCAAAAAGTACTGAACCAACTTTACCAAAATTTTGTGTACTAAGTGATAACTTATTACTCGGGTCAAGTCGTACTTATTAGCTCTCATTTAGGATACCTTTTACTACAGAAAAATCTTTCATTCCTACGGGAAAACTCAATATCTTTTTCTATCGAGTCATTCTTTGAAAACATGTCTAACGCTGGCTAAACTTTAAGAGATACATCAAAAAAAGTATCTGAAAATTGTAGGTCTTAATAGGGCCTACAGGAAAATCTGCAAATACCATAAGTCTTTCCTAAGGTATCCTCGCAATAACTATTCATATCTATTTAAATCGTACCTAAGGACGCACCCGCACGAAGCGAGGATAAGTCATAAATAAAGGGTAAGAGGATAAGTTTTAAATAAAATTATCTTTTTGGATTTTTTGCGGATTTATTTTGATTTTCGATTCCCAACAATCAGCAATCATGGTCACGAGAGAGCCTCTTCCGTGAAGATAGTATTATTTAAAGCACGTTCAAATTTGCTGCACCTGCACCTGTAACATATTCGTATGTAAATCATTGCTAATATGTAGACTGCTTGCTAAACGCTGAGTCCGCTAGTCTGTATTTGGCCAACGTGGTCCGTTTATGACTCTTTGCATCGAGGTCTGTGTTTAGCAGGGAGCGTTAAAGTGCTGAGTTATTAGGTATATGATTCTGATCTTTGTATATTTTACAAATCCCACACACATGGTTAGCCTGGTGGCGTCCACATAATAGTTTTTTAGGTTTACGTGAATATTATATGACATTAAATAAAACTATTCTTGTGTGATTTTATATTATTTTTTCCCGATGTTCCAAATGCTTTACAGTAATGCATCACAGTAATATTATAAATGCGAAAGTTTGGATGGATGGATGTTTGTTTGTTATTCAATTATGTTAGAACGGCTGAACGCATTTCGATGAAATTTGGCACAGAGATAGATTATAGTCTGGAATAACACATAGGTAACTTCTTATTCTGGAAAAATGTACGGTTCTCGTAGAATAGAGTTGTTTTTATTTTTCACAGAGCAAGTGATCGACTATCTATTCTATACTACCCGTTAACATGTACTGTTGAATGCCAAGCTCCAGATGTGATGCTGGTGGTCTTGACTAAATAAAAATGCGTTTTGTGGTAATATGGACTGTATTATCGCTGTTGATTTCTTGAGACGACCGTACGTATGCACACGGCGAGAGGTGGTGAGCGAGTCCCGGGCGTTTAGAGGGCTCGGCGCGTCGCAGGAGTGACTGTCGCGAAACCGGTTCGATCACGAGCCGGTGGCGTGATCCGGTGTGACGTAGGAACATGTACCTATTTTCATATTTAAGCTGATGAGAGTTCTCCATAAAGCGGAATTAATTTTAAATAATTTAATTTTAATTCTATTATGCACTTTCCATTTTGTACGTTTCCATTATTGTTATGAGAAATTATGTTAATAAAATTTCAAGTTAGGATTCATTTGCATATCGTATTTATATGTTGATCCCGGAACTGCTTAAACTTCGTAATTTGAAAATAGTTTTATGTTTAATGTTATTTGTTAGCTTAAAAGTTTCAAATTAAGATAGCCAATAGTAGATCGTATATAAACTCAAAATTGCTATAAAATTTTCGTGTAGCTTTTATTATCCTACATTTAATATTATAAATTATTATTTATTAATTTGTATTATCCGTATTATTATTTTATTAATATTATAAATGTGAAAGTTTGTAAGTATGTAATGGATGTTTGTTACTCTTTCACGCCAGAACGACGATGAAATTTGGCACAGAGATAGATTATAGTCTGGAGTAACACATAGGTTACTTTTTATCCCGAAAAAATGTACGCTTCCCGTGGGATAAGTTTGTTTTTATATTCCTAGAGGTGAACGCGAGCGAAGCGAGGGTGAGCCGCTAGTAATAATTAATATAATATCATTGCGCAAATCTAGAGAAAATAAAACAAACTGTTAAGTCACCACACTCTATATCTTTTCTACTAGCGACTGACCCTCGCTTCGCTTCGGGTTCATTCCTAGACGAAAACAAATATATCCCACGGGAACTATACATTTTTCCGTCATGATATATTAGGCTATATATATAGCCTTCCTCAATAAATGGACTATCTAAAGCAAATCATATTAGTAGTTCCTGAAATTAGCGCGTTCAAACAAACAAACTCTGCTTCTTTATACTGTTAATAATAATATAGATTAGAAATAATGTTATTCTTCCAGTAATTATAAGCATTGCAAAGAGATTTAAATCTTTTTATCTTATATTTTATTTTCTAAAATGTATAATTTTGAAAATTTTCTGCTCAGGATGTTGAATAATTATTTTAACAATTTACATATTTTTTAGGTTAATACAACATTATCACTCGGTGAGATGGTGCTTGCTGTTCAAGAGGAGCGTTTCTTTGTCACCAGATATCTATTTTCCAACTCCCAAGCTGCAGACATACCGAACAGGTAAGTGATCTTTCAATATAAAGACATTAATAATAAACAAATCTCCAAGGATTTTTGTGTACCATTTGTTATGTTAATTTTTTATATTATACTAGCAGAATTCGCAGCTACGCACGCGTTCAATCACAAAAAAAACTCTTTGGCTTTATGTCATATAGCGACTTCCCCTAGATTCGCTCGGATTTTTCATACTAAAATACTAAAATCACGATTAAAAAATGGGGGGTGGGAGCAGGAGAGTGAATAATACTTTACGACCTATTCTCATACCTATCAAATATATATATATATATAAATATATAAATATATATATATATATATATATATATATATATATATATATATAAACATTATAATCGATCGAGCCGTTTCGGAGGAGTGCGACCACAAACACCCTGACACGAGATATTTATATATTAGATAATTGTCAGAAATATGAGTATTTGCTTGTGTAAGGGTCTTTGCACACTACCTTATATAAACGGTTTACGACGCGCGTATTATGATTGTACGTCATTTGGTTATACTATGCGCTGATAAACTTGCTGATAAACTAAAATTGTAGACAACAGTGAGGGGTTGACCGATTTCTGCGAAGATTAATTGATAAGGTCATATTTACACCTTGTTACATGAAATTGCCGATAATTTGCGTATCATAAACATACGCCGTGTTGGTATATTCTGCGTTTATACATTAAAAAAATGCAGGTTTCTCGCGTTGTCGACATTCGTGTGCGTAGGCCCTTATTGTACGTATTAATACAAATGCGTGACAAGTGCGTGTCGACATGGCTTAGAAAATTCGTCGTATGTCCCGCCCCTAATATGATGCTCTTAATGAGTTTGCTTCTTATAGGTAGGTGACCTGATGCTTTAATAAGAAACTGGTTCTCCATAAAAAAAGACATACTACAGTGCTATTAAGCTAGGACTTGATGCGGATTTATTTAAAAAATGTCATGGTTCGTAAAATAGATTAATTAATATTATATTGATTGATAATAGATAATATTTGTTTTATTTTCGCTCGGGTACATCCCTAGATATCAGACAGTAGCCTTTACTGCAGGCCATAGTCTATGTCTATACTTATATTATAAGAGGAAGCGTTTGTATTTTTGTTTGTTTGTACCGTAAAGGCTCCGAAACTACTGAACTGATTAAGATAAAATTTGATTATGATCAGATCACGTCGAGAAAGCCAAGCTGATGGTAGCATTCGATGCAATAGCTCGTCCTATTGAAGTTAGGACCGTGCCAGCAGTGGGACGTTATAGAGGGCTGAATAGATAGATATAAGCCAATTTGCCGGTATATTTTATATGAAAATCAGCTTCAAAATTTCATAATTTTGACACTGACATGTAAACAGGATAAAAGTTCGACAGAAGTAAGGCAAAAATATGCTAACGTCCATTTATTATTTACTTTTTGTCGTAAATTAATAAAATTTTGTCGTAAAGTAAATTAATATTAACATAATAATTGTAATGTTCGGCGTTTTTGTCTTATTTTTTTTAGGAAACAAAGGTACTTTATTAGATAGCTGCAAAATACAATTTCTTGTTAATTTTATGTGCCATAATGCACAAAAATATAGCAATGTAAAACTAGAACAAAGATTGTCTGATCTTAAGTAGAAGGAGATCATTTCCATCAATGTTAACACTTCAGTATACTAGAAACAAAAATTCACAATAAAAAAATCGTACGTACGTATACCTAAATCGTTTAAAATAACATTTTTTCTGTAATAGTATCTTCTTTAAAAACAATAAAACCACATTTAACAAAAAATATACCTAATATGCAATCATATATTTGAATACCTCCTCATTCTTTGGATTCGGTTAAAAAAGAAAATTAATTTATCTGAGTACGAAAACACTGCTTCAATATATTTAGTCGGCATTTAGATTCCAAGGATATAAATAAAATTACGAGGTGCGGATGATGAAATTTCTTTAGTACCTATATAAGATTAAGGACTACAGAATGAATTTCGCTATGTGTAATATGGCTTGCTTATAAAAATCATTAACCTTATATTTCCCTTCAGCTATATACGAAAAATGTTTTATTAATAAACTGTGACTCACCCTCGTTTCGCTCGGGTTCGTCCCTAGATATAACGGTTAGCATAGACTTCTCAGAGATGAGATATTTTCCCGCAGTAAAAAAATTTCCTATATGTTGACCCGGAAAACCAGCTATCATCATGCCAACTTTCATCAAAACCAGTCTAGTGGTTTTCTCGTGATGCGTTCCCAGACAAACAATAAGACAGACAGACAAAATTAAAAAAAACTATGGATCTATAAATCTATTGATCGGCCTCTAGATCGATAATAAATATTATTTCAATAAGATTTTCCACAAAATATTTAATGTACAGATTCGATTCAGTTGGAATTTTATTATGTGTGTATATCTAGTATACAAAGTATTTATGTTTGGCTTAGACTCTTATTAAGATGTAGTTTGTTCAGATGTATGTAAACAAATATCTCTGAGTAGTTTCAGAGGCTAAATTGTTTTTTTGAATATTCACTAGCGAATTACTCTTGCTTCACTTGGGAGTTAGGTGTATCTATCTGTAGGTGCCTAATATTATAATGCTGAATGACCATTATTTTCCAACTACAATTGAAGTCATGATTTCTGAAAGTAAACAAATTTTAATTAGAATATAAAACTTCTTAACAAAAAATAAAACCGACTTACAGGCCCTAAAATGTAAAAAACAACTAAACGGAGGTTTTCATTTAGAATAGATACCTAATCAGATATTTTCGAAGTCGGTGCCAGCCTACATTATTTTAAGGTATGAATATCTATGTAAATATTATGTATTTTACGTATGGAAATGTATTAGATTTGCTTTGCATTGGCTGGCACCGACTTCGAAAATATCTCATTAGGTATATATATATATATATATATATATATATATATATATATATATATATATATATATACATATATATATATATAAAGTTTTTATTTTCCATTTTTAGTGTAGACGTAATAAGCAGGTAATTTGTAAGAAGAAAGTTTTTCAATAACGTATTCGATTAAACAATCTATTTAAAAAAATATTTATTGCTCATTTTTTAAAAAACCAATCGACCGATTTCGATAAAATTTATATGGGCTCACATGGGAAGTGTACCCTTTGAAACAAAAAAATCCAAATCGGTTCAGGCATCTTCGAGTAATCGGTGAACATCCATGAAAAAAAAGATTCCGAAGAATTGAGAACCTCCTCGTTTTTGGAAATGGAAGTCGGTTAAAAAAATAGCCCATAGCACTTTCCAGTGATGTATCTTCCTATTAGTGAAATGTTTTTTTCAGAATTGTAGTTTCAGAGATAACCCCCTCTTACATATCTGAAAATCTGGTTCTATTTTTTTTTCATATTAGTTAATGTCTATAATTTCCTAAATAGTAGGGTAATCTTTATCGACTATACTATGCCAGTGAAATTTCCATTGAAAAACAGTAAAAAAACTGAACAAGTCATTTAGATAATACGATAATAATGCATTATGTTAAAAGTTTTACATCAATTCGCTCGAGTTCATCTCTAGGTACAGTAGCATTATATGTATTATTCCACCACATGGTCTATTTAGTATGTGTTGGAAGTTGGAAGTGAAGGTTGAGAGTGTAGAAGTAACAAACACACAGACAAACACACTCACATACAAAATTTTATATATCTATACTAATATTCTAAAGAGATAACGTTTGTGAGCTTGTGACGTTGTAAGGGGTAATCTCTGGAGGGGAACCAACCTAGGGAGTAGGGTGAGTCGCTAGTTTATAATAACTGCCTCGGTGGTGTAGTGGCTAGCATGTACGGCTGCACACTCGGAGGTTCTGGGTTTGAGTCCCGGGTCGGGCCAAGTTTAGTTATTGAGTCTTTCTGTAAAGTAAACCTCAGTAACAGCCCGGAGTTGGGAAGTTGGCGGTGTTTCACCCCCGTGCCTCGGAGAGCACGTAAAGCCGTCGGTCCTGCGCCTTAACTCTCACTGTTCGTGTCGAGTAGTCGTCCCACCAGAGTATGAGAGTGACAGGAATAGAGAGTGCACGTTGTGTCTGCGCGTAAACTTGTGCACTATAATATCTCCTGCGCAGTTGGCTAGTCTCAATGAGATTGGCCGCCGTGGCCGGAATCGGTCAGGAGAACATCAATAATTGTAGTTTAATTATTGGACTATTCTACATAAATGACTTTGTCTTGCGTCTTTTGGCAGTTAATTGAAAAAACCACTTAGATCAAATGAAAAGAACTTTTTTTAGTTAATAAATTTTATGCATAATACATAATTTTCACTTAATAAATATTACATATTATAGTTAACTTAATGTTGTTTAATATTTTTCTTAATTTTCATTGTACATTTGACTAACTAATTATAGGAATTAGTATGAATATAATTACAGTTTAACTGGAAATTAACGCAGTGGAGTTTCGCTGTTATCACTGCGTCGGCTTATTATTATACGTCCAACTAACAGCAGTTTTGCTTTTGAAAGCCAGTTATTGTTACTGGTAGAACTAATGTTGCTAAGAAATGACTATGTATCAATACAATTTGAAATTATATAACGTTTTAGTTTTAAACTTCGAAAGGGAATGACAAAGCTTTTTATTACAGTATTCCTATTATATTAAATTAGCGACTCACCCTCGCTCCGCTCGGTTTCGTCAAATGAAAATTTTTTTCGCAGTAAAAAGTATCCTATATGTAGATCCGGATAACCAGCTATCATCATACCAAATTTCATTAAAATCTGTCTCGTTTTCTCGTGATGCGGTGACAGATAGACAGACAAAAACTCTAAAAACTATAGATTCGGCCTCTGTATCAATAATAATTACTATTTCAATAAGATTTTCCAAAAAATATTTAATGTACAAATTCGACTCAGAATTTTATTATATGTATAGACAAGTGAAATTTGGGAAGGTATTTGGACGTTTGTTATGT